CTCAGTGCTGTTAGAAAGACAGCTAGACCCTCTGGGTGCCCGCCTTCCCAAGTCCACATGCTGGGGATGGAGAAGCTGAGTGAGCCAGCTGAGGGTAGGATCTGCCCCTGGCTCCCATCAGCTGTAGCCGGCATTGTCAGCTGCCAGGAGCTCACCCCAGCCAGGTGGAGATGGTGGGTCTCAGCAGGAGAGTTGGGCAGGCCCTTTTACACACCTCCACGGAGGGGTGAGTCGCCGTCCCACCTGTGCGCTGTTATTTCTGTGTGTGGTACCTATTTCTCCGTCCTTCTCTCCTCAGGCCCTCAGCATCCTCATGCTCCCTCACAACATCCCATCCAGCCTCAGCCTGATCGCCAGTATGGTGGATGACATGTGGCACTACGCTGGGGACCAGTCCACTGACGTGAGTGCTTTCTGCATACCCACAGGATACCGGAAAAGGCGTGGGTTAGGCATTTCTTCGGGAAGGTTGTGAAAGTTCTTTGATCACAGATCCCTTCAGGGGGCCTGCAGTGCCATTCCTGTCATGGGAAGGAGAGGCTAGGGGTGGGGAAGGTCCCTCAACAAGCCACAGTGGGAGCCAGGTCCTCACTCGAGGGCCAGCACCCTAGCCACAAATAAGCAGTTGTTCCCTCTGACCTCTAGTGGTGACTGGGCTGCCATTTTATAAGCATTTTTCTCCTCAGTCTCCTAAGATTCAGATTCTGCAGTGGGCTTTTTCAGTGTGTGGTTTTCATGAGACTGATTTAAAAAAAGGGGGGCCCCTGGATAGCTCAGTTGGTTACATGTCCGACTCTTGATTTCACCTTGGGTCTTGATCTCAGGGTCATGAGTTCAAGCTCCATGCTGGGCATGGAGCCTGCTTTAAAAAAAAAAAAAAAGAATGCCATGGAGCCACCAGTTGCTTTGAAAAGGAACTCCCTCCCCCCAGCCCACTTTGGCCTGCTTTGCTAAGAGATCAATAAGCCTTTAAACAGGCACCAGGAAAGAATCTGACTTGTTAATGCTATCATATTTCTGGCAGGAAATTAAAAAATAAAAAGTATACCTTCATAAAAGAAATTAATTTGTGATGGTGCTTTGTGGAATCCAGGCTGGGGAGGCAAAGAGATGCTCCTGACACAGTTCTAACAAAGGACTTCAGTAAGCTTCCCCCGTGTGGGAGTACAGTCACCAACAGAGCTGGTGACAAAATGAAATTAGAAAGCTGAGAAATTAAAGGAATAAAACACGAAGCAGCTGAGCTAGTGCTCCAAAGAGCAGTTTGCTGGGCCAGCCCGAGTGGCCGAGGGACCGGAACCCTCAGCTCGGCCCAGGTGTTCTGATCTGTCCATGGTCCTGTCTCCACCCTCACATGACTGATGAACACACCACAGTGTGCTCGTAACTGGCTGACCATAGAGCCTCTCTGGAATTTAGGTGGCCTAAGACTTGGTCTTTTCACCAGCAGTTTCAAAATGGACTGGATGTAACAAAATCACTGGGGATGCTTATCAGACATCCAGATTCCTTGCACTTTCTTCAGACCCCCTGACTCTAAGCTCTAAGAGGTTGGGCCCAGGAGCTTGCATTTTAATCTCCCAGGTAATTTTGACGTGCAGCCAAGTTTGAGAACAGTACTGTTATCCAGGGGGGGACAAATGTATCTTTGGAGGAAAGAAGAGATCAGGAGGGAGCCCATGTGTGCCCGTGGCTTTGGGTAGGAACCAACCCAGACTTCCCCCAGTCCACAGCAGTAGTGGTGACCCATCTTCCTGGGTGGGTTTCTTTGCAGTTTAACTGGTATACCCGCCGAGCTGTGCTGGCTGGCATCTACAACACGACAGAGCTGGTGATGATGCAGGACTCCTCTCCAGACTTTGAGGACACTTGGCGCTTCCTGGAAAACCGGATTAATGACGCAATGAACATGGGCCACACTGCCAAGAAGGTAGTTGGGGCTAGCCCTTTGGGAAGCTGCCTCATTAGACACACCACCCTCCTCAAGCCACAGCTGGTCTCCTGTCTTCTTGCTCCCCTTTGGCCTCAGAGGACAGTCCTGAGGGCCTGCCCAGGGAGGGAGTCTGGCTGGCTCTTCCACATACCAGCCCTTCCCTAAGAGCCACACTTGGGTCATTTGTGGTTGTGTCCATAGGCTCTTCCTCCAGTCCACAGGGTCCTCATGAGCCGCCCCCCCCCTCCCGATTTGTCCTGCCTGTTTCACCTTTGAGCTTGTGTTGGGGGCTTAAGAGAACCTGACCTTGACTCCTTCTAGGTAAAGTCCACTGGAGAGGCACTGGTGCAGGGACTCATGGGTGCAGCAGTGACGGTGAGTACTGCCCCGCTCATCCCTGCCCTCCTCCCATTCCACTCCTGCCCTGTGATCCTTACAACATGTGTCGAGGATCCCAAAAGCCTTAAACCGGAAAGCTACTAATAAGACTGATAGTGGTTCAGTCCCAGTCTCTGATCCTGAATTCCCCACCTCTTTTTTTTGCTGCAATTAAAAAGCATGGCTGACTCCCAGGCCCCTGGCATGTCAGATCTGTGGGTCTTAGCTGTGCCTGCCACCTTGAAAATCCCAATCTTTCCCATTGGAGTCCTAGGGACAGGGCAAGGCCTCATCATTCCCTTTTCTTCCCTTTATCAGCTCAAGAACTTGACAGGTCTAAACCAGCGCCGGTGAGCGGGACAGGGTGTGAGCTAGAGTGCCCAGAAGAAGAGCTGCAGGTACATTGAAAGGGCTTTGAAAAATATGAAGTGCCGTCCAGGGTGTTAATGAGAAAACGCTGAAGGACTCCTTAGTCACTACGACAGCCACCTGGAAACCAAAGGGCACTTGATACAGCTGTAGCCTGCAATCGGGCTACCTCTTCAGTTCCAAATACCAGGCCAGGCCTCCTGATGCCTTTCTGCGTTGCAGCTGTGTGATTGAAAAATGAAGCTCTCATCCAAGCCATCGAGCCACAGAAACCCAGCACGTCCCTGTCATGGTCTCACGGATGCCTTGATCACGTCTTAACCTTCCTAAAGTGTTCTCTGGGGCTCCCAAATGAGAGTCAGGGTGTGGAGCCATTACAAGGTGGCTGCCCACCCCCGGCATGGCTTGACTTGTGCCCACAGGTGTTCCTCACACCACCCCCCCACCCTGGTGTCCTGAGATACTGCACCTGGGACCCTTCAGAAAGCTGCCTCACCTGAGACTGGTGCCTCCAGACAGCGGTGCTCAGCCTGGCCAGAGGCGGGAACCCAGGCCCTTTGTCGTGTTACACCAGCACGTGTGGCAGGGCTAGGAGTGAGCTTTAGAGGGTAAAAATAGTAATAAATATGTTTGAAGCCGTTTCATGTTGGCAGTTCGTTTCCATCTGGGCCACAGCAGGTATCCAGGACCCCAGAGGGAGACAGCAGTGATGCCGGAAGGGCTTGAGGCTGGCAGCCAGAAGGCCTGGGCTCTGGTCCTCGTGCGGCCTACTGCTAGTGGGTGGTCACAGCAGGTCTGCCTCCCTGGGCCTGTGCTTCCCTTCTGGAAGTGTGGGTGATGGTGGCCTTCCCTGCACTGTTAGCTCCCTTGGCTGCTATTTTCTATGACTGATCATTTCAGGGGTCTGTTCTTTAGCATTAATAATTTTCTGTCTCTACACTGGCTGGGCTCCCTTTGCAAGTCTGGTTAACTCTGTTGTAGTCTTCTCGAGCTACTATAACAAAATACCATAGATGGGGTGACTTAACAACAGACATTTGTTTCTCACAGTTCTGGAGGCTGGGAAGTCCAAGATGAAGGTGCCAGCCAGTTCCTGGTGAAGTCTTTCTGACTTGCCACCTTTTCTCTATGTTCTAACAGGGCAGAGAGAGCGCGAGCTCCAGTGTCTTCTCCTGTTCTTATAAGGGCACTCTTCCTATCAGGAGGGCACTAATCCTACCCTCCTGACCTCCCACAGACTCCATCCCCAAATACCACGTTGGGCATTAGGCTTCAGCATTTGAGAGGAACACAATTCAGTCCAGAGCATCTGTCTTCTGCGTTGCTCTGTCCGACCTAAATGGACGGGGTATTGATGGGGGAAGTCACCAGCTAATAGGTTTTTCCAATCTTTTGGCCTTCCACCCGCCCCTTTCTGCACCTCTTTAATTCTTTGTATCATGACTCCCTGTCAAGTCCCCTACGTACCAAATTTCATTCCATTCTCTCCCTAGCATCCCTCTTGTACTCAACAGACAACCTTAATCCTTAATTTCCTGAGATGACACAGGCTGTGAAGCACAGGCCCCCTCAGTGCCCTTTCTCTCTGTCTCAGGAAGAGTGTCACCCCCAGCTAAGGCAAACTCTTTATCTCCTCTCTTACTCTTCTGCCTTAAATGTAGTTCCTGCTAAGTTCTATTTTAGAGCCTCTTCTCTGTTATGAGCAGGTGCCCAATCAGCTTTCTCCAGGCTATGTGTGGGGTGGGGTGGGGGGCTTTGGTACTCTCTATTGAGCATCTGCACACTGCCAGGCATGTGGAGATGAAGAGCCCCCACCCACCTGCCACAGCTACACAGACTGCAGATGATGCACTGAAGTGAAAGCATTGTATCTTCCTGCAGTTTCAGGAGAGCGTGAGCCAGACTTTGCTGAAGTATACTTATGTTCTTCCATAAATGTGCAGATTTACTTCATTTTCTTAAAGGCACCGTAGTATTCTGTTTTGTTTATTTAACCTGGTCTCTGTCAATAGATACCTAGTTTTGTTACCTTTTGCTGTTACAAACAGTGCTGCAGGGAACGCCCCCGCACGTGTAACTTTGCTGACAACTGCAGCCGTTTTCGTAGTAGGAATTCCTAGAAGTGTTATTGTTGAGTCGAGGGCGTGCACAGGTTTTGCCAATTCCCGCCCCCGCCCCTCCCACGGTTGAACCTGATGCACTTCCAGCAGGTGGGAGTGTAAAACGGGGCCCGGAGCGGCAGCGGCCTCCGAGCGGCAGGTGGCGCTGTGAGCGCGTGTCTGCGGAAGCGGCGAGGGCCGCGCTGACCCACTTCCGGCGGCGGCGGCGGTGGCGCAGGGAGCCGAATCCCGGGAGCTGGCGGGTTGTGGGGCACGATGCCGTATGCCAACCAGCCCACCGTGCGGATCACGGAGCTCACCGACGAGAATGTCAAGTTCATCATTGAGAACACGGACCTGGCGTAAGGTCCCTGAGGGAGGAGGCCGGCGGCTGTGGAACGCGGGGGGCTGGAGTCGGGCCGGGCGGGGGTCACGTCCTTCTAGAGCTGGGTCCCCGTGGCGGGGCTTCCGCTTTGGGAGCCGTGAGCGCGGGACTTCGCCGTCGAGGCTGCGGCGTCCTCACGCGGCTTGATTTTCATCCCTCAGGGTGGCCAACTCTATACGGAGGGTCTTCATCGCCGAGGTGCCCATAATAGGTAAGTGAAACCGGCCTGTCGTGGCCAGCCCCCTCCGCACACCTTGGGGCTCCTGCTCCTAGCGCTTGGTTAGGCTGGGGCGGGGGGGTCCTGGGGTGGCTCTGAGAAGACAGCAGTGCTGTACTGTTGGCCCAGGCCGCTAGGGTCCACTTTTACATACGCGTCGGTGAGGAGCGTGGGTTCGGGAGTCTGCGTATTTGGGTTTGAATACCGTTTTCCCGTACTGTCCCTGTGAAACTTGGGCAAGTTTTTCAACTGTGTGGTGCGGTTTTCTCTGTAATATTCGGACATTAATAGTACTTATAGGGTGATGGCAAGGATTAAATGAGGGAATCCCTATTAAATGCCTTGTGTTCAGGACCAGTAGGTGTCTTTATGAATCCGTTCCTTCAGCTGCACTCAGAGAACATGTAACTGCCAGGCAGTATGCTAGGAACTGGGAATGCAGAGCTGCATAGTGCAGGGTTCTTGCCCTCGGGGAGCGCCCAGTGAAGTTGCAGGGCAAAGGCGAATCCACAGATAACAGTACTGCAGGATAGGCGTGGATCAGTAAGTAGCTCAGAAGTAGAACTACAGTGCTGTTGGCGCTTAGAGGAAGGAGGGTCTGCTCTGGTTCCAGCCACCCTGCCCCAGGTATTTTTCACATTTATAAATATATTACAAATATATACTGAGTGTCCATTCAAAGTTTGGGTTGGAAAAAGAAGTGTAACTCACAGCTGCTGCACTCCTAAGGAAATAAGCAGGCCAAATGATTGGTAAACAAGAGAACATTGTAGTTTCTACCACTACCATCTCTAGTCACTTCTTCAGCTCAGAACTTGGAGTGCTGGTCCAACCCCTCCCTAATTACTCCATGTCTGTGGGCCTCAGTTTCATCATGAGTAAAATAAGGGAATTGTACTTTTTTTTTAAGATTTTATTTATTTGAGAGAGCGCACAAGCGGGGGTGCGGCAGGGAGAGGGAGAAGCAGGTTCCCTGAGGAGCAGGAAGCCCGATGAGGGGCTCCATCCCAGGACCCTGGGACCATGACCTGCGCCGAAGGCAGACGCTTAACCGACTGAGCCACCCAGGTACCCCATGGAGTTGTACTTTGAGGCAATATGACATTACAAGTCTAAATGCCGTTTTTCCCACAAATTCAGTGCTGCAAATAGTAGCACCTGCTACATTCCAGGCCACATTGGGAATGCAAAAGTTAAGATATTTGAAGACTCCACCCCAAGGATTTTTCGAAGCTGTGAGGTTGAGACAAGATATATGCAAATACAGTACAGGGCAAAATATGACAGGGTAGGGGTGCCTGAGTGGCGCAGTTGATTAAGCATCTGACTCTTGATTTTTGGCTCAGGTCATGATCTTAGGGTTGTGAGATCAAGCCGGGCATCAGGCTCCGCGCTCAGTGTGGAATCTCCCTCCTGCCCTTCCCACACTCGTTCTCTCTTTCAAAAAATTTTTGAAGTGTATATATAATACATATATGTATATGACATACATATTGTGTGTGTGTATATATATGTAACAAGTGTCTTTAGTCTGGGCAGAGTTTTGTGAGGGAGGAGCTTGTAGGGAGGGAGTGTTGGTATCTGTATCCTGGAGGTCAAGCAAAGCCTGGTTTATAGGAGCCTCAGAGGATGTTAACCTGCACAGGAGAGGGTCGGGGCATGTGGGATGGCGGGGGGGGAGTAAGGAGGCAGAGTCAGAAAAGCTTGGCTCATGGTCCTTCTTTGGCTTGGGTTGGGGAAGCAATAGAAAGCATAGGACAATGCAGATTGGGTCCTAACTGTCTGGTCCTCTTCTGACTTCCGTTTCTAGTGTCCACGCCCTTTGTTTGGTGGTTGGCCATTTGATTTATGAATTTGTCTGCATGCAGATGTTTATTAATGAATGAATATGTGTTTAAGTCAGGTGTGTGTGATAATACGGTTCTTATCCTTTTAGCTCATTGCTGGTAAGCATTGGGTTTGATATTTAGTATACTGTTTCCATTAAAGGAGTTCTCTAAACAGTAGTTGATTGAGTGATAATAAAGTGTTAAATGGGGTAATCTGGTCATTGCATCATAAAATGAGATATGGACCATAAGTCTGTGTTGAGATTTTTCCCCCAACTTTTTAAGTGCCTGAGTAGTTTATGTTCTTGGATTTGGTGTTGACATGAATAACAGACGTAAATGCTTCTCACAGAAATATTTAGTTCAAAGAAACATGTTCCCACTCCCATGAGTATTCTCTAAGTCAGTATTTTGTATGGAACAGGAACCCCCCCCCCCCAGCATTAAATCTGCCTGAGTAGGAAAGGAGGGGCTGTTGCATGTGGTTCCTGTTAAAATGCGGATCCCTGGTCCCCACTTGAGCTGCGGAATCAGCCTCTGGCAGCCTGGCCCAGGCTTTTGTAATTTAGTAAGCATCAGGTGTTTCTTAAATCTTGAGAACCACTGCTGTAAGTCTTTAAATGAATTTGGTGGCTAAACTGCACGTCTGCTTTATTTTTTAGCCATTGACTGGGTTCAAATTGATGCCAATTCCTCAGTCCTTCATGATGAGTTCATTGCTCACAGGCTTGGTGAGTGCGGGTTTTGAAAGGTGAAAGGGAGGGGGGCTGTGCCTGGTATCAGAGGAAGAAGCCTCCTCACTCCCAAGGGGGATTTTTAGGTGCTCTTTCTGGCGTGGCCATTTGGACTTCTTTAAAGTGCTTCTTTGTTTCTTCCAGGACTAATCCCCCTCACCAGTGACGACATTGTGGACAAGCTGCAGTACTCCCGGGTATGCGGTGTGATTGGGTGGAAGGGGGTGGGGGCGGGGGGTTCAGTTCTCAGAGGCATTTTCCCCCACCTCTTACTTCTAGCTGTTAGCGTGGAGATGTTGCCTGGAGCCTAAGCAGACATGGGTCCTCCGTTCTGACAGGCCTCAGATTGATTAGGTTCGAGGGGCATCAGGGAGTCTCTCCAGCCAGCCACACAAGACAGGGTATACACCAGAATTCCCATTTATACTGAACAGTGGGGGTTGGGCCTTTACAGACTCCGATCTGTTCAGACTTTACTTTCCAGGGTGTGTTTTCCGAGTGACAGGAGGCTGGGAGGCTAAAGGGAGTCAACAGAGGGTTGAGGGGTTAGGAGGGCGTGAGGGTGAGAACAAAGGGAGTGAGAACTGGCCCCCACAGCAGCACCTGAGGGACTGGAAGGCAGCTGTCTGTGCCTCTGCCCATAGGTGATGCTCGTTAAATGTGACCCCTTCCTCTAGGATCGTGTTTGTTCTCTGATGATATGTTAATAGGCCTTGGACTTGGTGGGGGCGGGACAGGATTAGGTTCCCTGCTTCCTTTCCCCAGGGCTGCGTTAGGTAACAGCTTGAGACTTCCCTTTTGGTGGCTTTGAGTGATCCTGAATCAGCCCATCTTCTGATATTCCCAAGGGCATATCATTTTTGTGGTAGCTAACTTGATACATGTTATAAATCTATATTTTTTTGAAGAGATGTTTAAGCACACAGACAGGTGTGGAGTTTATCTGACCAATACTCTCGCTCCTGTCAAACAGCTTGTCATATTCTAACATTTTGCAATATCTGCTTCACATCTCCAGATTTTTGTTTGTAAGAAATGAAACATCAGTTAAATAAATAAATAAAATCTTTTAAAAAAAAAAAAAAAACATCAGGGGCACGTGGGTGGCTCAGTTGGTTAAGTGTCTGCCTTAGGCTCGGGTCATGATCCCAGGCTTCTGGGATTGAGTCCCGCATCAGGTTCCCTGCTCAGTGGGGAGCCTGCTTCTCCCTCCCCTCCCTGCTTGCTATCTCTGTCGCTATCTCTGTTTCTCTTAAATAAATAAATTAAAAAAAAAAAAAAAGAAACCACAGATATTGGTGGGGATAGTTGTACAACCAGTTGAAGAGCAGTGTGGCAGTGTCTTGGGTAAAGATATGCATGCCCCAAGACCTAGCTTCCGTGCATTAAATTTTTTTCTAGTATTTACTGAACAAAGATGGTATGGATCTCCCTACCCTGTTTTTGGCTTTTTCTCAAAATCTGCAGAAAAGTTAAAAACCTCAAATAATAAACAGCTATTTATTTTTCACCTTTAGTTGCCAGTTGTTAATATTTTGCTACATTAGCTTTATTTATCCTATCCACATTATTTTTGCTGAACCATTTGAAAGAGAGTTGCAGACATCATGACACTTCTCACCTCCTTCAGCATGCTTGTCCTAAGAGTAAGGGTATTTTCCCACATAACCACACTATCATGCCTAGAGTATTAGCATTAACTTGTAATGTTTGCACCGTCCTTACCCAGATTTTCCTAGTTGTCCCCCACACGGCCTTTCTTGCTTTTTGTCTGTGGGTCGGTCATTCATCCAAGATTCATGCATGCATTTGGTTGTTATACCTCTTTAGTCTCTTAATTTCCGATTCCTCTCCTTTCGTTAAATACATTTTTTTAAGGTTGTGTACCATTTCATATTTTTATTTTTCATGACATTTTGATTTTTCCATTTCATATTTTTAAGTTTTGGGTTTGTTAACATATAATGTATTTGTTTCAGGTATACAGGTCTGTGATTCATCAGTCTTACACAATACACAGCGCTCACCACAACACATACCCTCCCCAATGTCCATCACCCAGCCACCCCATCCTTCCCACCCCCCTCCACTCCAGCAACCCTCAGTTTGTTTCCTGAGATTAAGGGTCTCATGGTTTGTCTCCTTCTCTGGTTTCGTTTTGTTTCATTCTTTCCTCTTTTCCTCTATGACCCTCTGCCTTGTTTCTCAAATTCCACGTATCAGTGAGATCATATGATACTTGTCTTTCTCAGATGGACTTATTTCGCTTAGCATGATACCCTCTTCTAGTTCTGTCCACGTCGTTGTTGCAATTGGCAAGATTCCATTTTTTGATGGCTGCATAATCCATTGTGTATATATACACCACATCTTCATCCATTCATCTGTCATTGGACATCTGGGCTCTTTCCATAGATTGCCTATTGTGAACATTGCTGCTGTAAACCTTGGGGTGGAAAAAAAAAAAAAAAACCTTGGGGTGCAGGTGCTCTTTCAGATCATTACATTTGTATCTTTAGGGTAAATACCCAGTAGTGCAATTGCTGGCTCATAGGGTAGCTCTATTTTCAACCTTTTTGAGGAACCTCCATACTGTTTTCCAGAGTGGTTGCACCAGCTTGCATTCCCACCAACAGTGTAGGAGGGTTCCCCTTTCTCCGCATCCTTGCCAACATCTGTCGTTTCCTGAATTGTTAATTTTAGCCATTCTTGTTGGTGTGAGGTGGTATCTCATTGTGGTTTTGATTTGTATCCCTGATGCTGAGTTGATGCTGAGTGATGTTGAGCACTTTTTCATGTGTCTGTTGGCCATTCGGATGTTTTCTTTGCAGAATTGTCTGTTGATGTCTTCTATTTCTGGATTGGATTATTCCTTGGGTGTTGAGTTTGATAAGTTCTTTATAGATTTTGGATATTAGCCCTTTATCTGATATGTCATTTGCAAATATCTTCTCCCATTCTGTCGGTTGTCTTTTGGTTTTGTTGACTGTTTCCTTTGCTGTGC